AAGGCCTGAACCAGACAATTAAAACAAGCAATAAAACTGCACCGTGGAATGATTTCTCCTTGACACGCTCGCCCCCAACAAGTGCCACATGTCCTGTGTATAAATAGCAGCTGCCCAGGCTTGCTTAATCATCCCATTGTTGCTTTATAATATTAATTAAACATTCCTCTGGGATTGTTTGCATCCTAATTAAGCAGGGGAACTTACAAAAGACAGCGAGGGAACCAAACAAGTGCGGGCTGGGGGTGCAGTTTTGCTAAACCGTGTGCAACTGTGTTTAAAAAAGCCCAGAAAATCGCAGGGCTGTGGCTCAAAGCCACTGCGCTGGGGCTGGGCTGGAGGGGGGCACGGTGCGGGTGACACCCGCGGGGGACAGCGTGGCACTGGGGGGACAGCGTGGCACTGAGGGACAGCGTGGCACTGAGGGGCACTGGGGGGACAGTGTGGCACTGGGGGACAGTGTGGCACTGGGGGCGACAATAGTGTATTGCAGGTGACAATATCATATTATGGGTGACAATAGTGTATTGTGGGTGACAGTAGTGTATTGCAGGTGACAATATTGTATCGTGGGTGACAATATCATTCTGTGGGTGACAACACTGTATTGCAGGAGACAATATTGTACCACAGGTGACAATATCGTATGGTGGGTGACAATATTGTATTGCAAGTGACAATATCGTATCACAGGTGACAACATCATATCGGGTGACAAAATTGTACCGCAGGTGGCAATATTGCACTGGGTGACAATGCACACTGCGGGTGGCAATGTCAGTCCACGAGTGACAGTATTGCACCACGGGTGACAATATTGTACCATGAGTGACAGTACTGTACCACGAGTGACAATGTCGTACCACGGGTGACAGTATTGTACCACGAGTGACAATATTGTTCCACAGGTGACAATGTCGTACCACGGGTGACAGTATTGCACCACGGGTGACAATATTGTACCATGAGTGACAGTACTGTACCACGAGTGACAATGTCGTACCACGGGTGACAGTATTGTACCACGGGTGACGCCTTTCCCAGGGACAGGTCCCCAGGTGCCCCAGGCTTGTTCCCCCTCCCTGCTCTCCGGGCAGACTCCAGCTCATTGTTCCCGGCTCAGACTCGTGCACCCTGCAGGGATGTGCTGCGAATTACTTCCCAAATTATGTGAGTAATTAAAATCAATGAGAGGGTATCCTGTTAAATAACGTAATTAGATGAGCACAGCCAGGAGATGAGTGCAAGGGTGGTTTTGTTCTCCTGCCTGGAGACAGCTTTTAACTCTTTCCCTCTTGGCTCTTCCCGGCAAGGGCAGGCAGGGCTCCCCTGGGCCACGCCAGGAAAACGCCTCCAGAGCTTCCTCCAGAGCTTCCTCCACCCCAGGGCTGTCCTTGCCCACCCCTGGTTATGTGGGGACACTGGAAATGCCCCAGACCTGAAGGCTGCAAGCACCTGAACCCCTGTGAACACAGAGCTGCCTTGGGATCCTGGCAGAGGAGAACAGAGCTGGGCACGGAGGGCCACACGTGGGAATGGGAATTGGCTGAGGTGCATGAGGAGCTGAGGAGCATGAGGAACTGTGTGAGCTGCACAAGGAGCTGTCTGAGCCATCCCCACAGGTCCAGGCTGTTCCCATTGCCCAGCCCAGGTCCCCATGGACAAGCAGCACCTTTCCCACAGCACAGAGGGCTCAGGGGCTGCCCCAGCTCCAGAGGAACCCGAGTGCTGAGAGTCCTTCTGGTTCTGCTCCTGCTTCTGGCAGGGCAGGAGGAGCTCAGCCGGTTCAGACACACGTGGAGAGCTCTCTCCTCCAGCTCCTGGGGCTCTGGGAAGGGTGCAGGCATCTGGCCAGATGGCTCTCACTGCAGGGCTGGAACAGAAATAATTAATTTATGGTATCGTGTTCGGGACCCTGCTGTGCCCCAGAGGAAACGCTGCAAACCCTCACCTGCGGTTATTTTTCCAGCTGGGATGCACACAGAGATGAGGGCTCTGTGTCCTGCTGAGCCTTCAGCCCCTCTGTGATTCTCCAGGGTTGCCAGGATGTGTCACATCCAATTGTCCCACGAAATCACATTATGGCAAAGGAGCTCAACCCCTGCTGGGGACAATCCCGGGGTGGGGACACCGGGAATCCCCCCGGAGGGGCCGCAGGGGTGACAGGCTGCTCCAGGGAGATTCCAGCACACAGAGCCCCGGTGGAGCCCGGCTGGGGCGGCTCCTGCAGGTCCCGCAGGCTGCAGGGAGGAAGGTGCAGCTTCAGCTCTTTGAGTGCCCCATCCCACCCATCTGAGTGATTTACAGCTGCCATAAACCCCTGCTGAAGGAGCACTTCTGCCCGACTTTCCTGGCAGTGCAGCTTATCTCCAGAGAAGTTCCCAACACCCTGTAGCTGCAAATAGAATGTTTCTCCCATTCCTCTTAGGAATAAATAAGAATTTCTCGTAGGAATATCTCTGTTATTTGCCTCTTTAAGGTCCATATTCCGTGCAAAGCTCCGACCATGCTGCTAACAGCATCGCAGCAGCCACAGCTTTGCACACCAGGCAAGCAGCACACACAGCGTTCCCCTCTTGAGAGATGTCGAGTGAGGGGACCCAGTGTCTCTTTTTGCAAGCGAGCTCCATTCAGGGCACAGGAAAGGCAGCACAAAGCCGGCCGTGAATGGTCTCCAGAGCATTAGCATGAGCACATGCAGATCAGGCAGCTGCAGAGCAGCGCCTGGCCGGCTGCCCCAGGGCCAGCCCCGACTGCTCTGCAGCACAGGAGCCCCGAGGAGGGGGAGCTCTGAGCAGGTACCTGGGGGGAGCTCCAGCCGAGCCACCCCAGCAGGACGTGGCTGGGAAGGCACCTCCAACATCCCCAATTCCAATCCCTGCCCTGGGCACGGACACTCCCGCTGTGCCGAGCCCTGCCCAGCCCGGCCCTGGGCACTGCCAGGGATCCACAGCTGCTCTGGGCACCTGCGCCAGGGCCTCACAGGGAGGAATTCCTTCCCAAAATCCCATCTAACGCTGCTCTGTTCCAGTTTGAAGCCACTCCACAAGGGTGGACAGAAAGGGCCGCCAGCCGCGGTTCCTTTCCCCTGCACCACAGCAATCTCATTGTCAGAAGAATAAGCTGTGAAATGGTTTTGAAAATCAAGGCTTTTTAATTACAGGCACATTTGGGAGCCTTCTGGAGGCCATCTGGCCGGGAGAGCAGGGTGTGGGCTGCAGGAGGGGCGAGCCCAGGGAGCAGAGCAGCTCCTGGAAAAGCACTCGATTAACGCTAAGAGCTAAATCCTCTCTTGCCATTAAGCCAGATGGGCCAGAGCAGCAGGCACCACCCAGGGCTGGGCAGCTCTGGCCGTGCTGGGCTCTGGGAGTGCTGCTGGCCCAGCCCGGGGCTGAGGCTGACCAGAGATTCCCAGCAAATCCCAGCAGCAGGCTGCTCTGCCATCGCTGCCCTCCCTGGCATCCTGCCCCTCTGGTCATTGTCCGTGGCTGGGACCAGCCACTCCTGTCAGCCGGGCAGAACGCAGCCAGGGCCTCCTCACACACTGCCATTCTGCTAATTAGGTGGGTTTTGTACTCAATAATGGAGAACAATTCCGTGGCAGTTTCATGAAGGAAAAAAGAGGAGCAAAAGCCATTGTAATTTCAGGAAAAGTCCCTGGAGAAGTGAAATGGTAATTCACAAACCCAGCTCTGATCTATTAGCACATCCTGCTCTGGAGACTAAATTAGGGAGGATGTCTGGCTGGGGTGATAATTCTTCATTATTTGAATGTCTATAAAGAATGTTTATTAAATATTTTTTCTCTGAAGAACTTTGAGATGCAGCTGCATTTTCTCGCTATTTCCAAGCATTTGAAGCCTAGCCCACACTGGAGGAACTGCTTTTCCCAGAGGGTCCCTGTGTGCATTCTGGGCTGCAGATTTCCCTGGGCTCACACTCCCAGCCTGTGCCCTGTGTAACACACGGCCTTGCAGGGGCAGCCTCTGCAGAAATGTCCCTCAGCTGCCACCCCAAGTGTCACCGTCAGCTGGGATGTGCTCCTGGCTGTGGGAATGCAGGGTTGGGATGTGCTCCTGGCTGTGGGGTGCCCCAGGGCACAGCTGGGATGTGCTCCTGGCTATGGGAATATCCCAGGGCAGGTCTGGGATGTGCTCCTGCCCATGGGGTGCCCCAGGGCTCGGGGCTGGGACCCCCAGGCCACACTCCTGGGGACTGAGGCAGCTGCAGGAAAAGCTGCTCCTCTCTCTGGAAAACTCCTCTTTGCCAAAAGGAGCAGGGAGGTAACAAACAGGATGAACTCCTGATAAAAGAGGAGGAAAGCAAAATGCTTTACAAGCAGCCTTTCAGCATTCAGAGAAAGGAGGACGGGGGAAGCAGCAGCCCTGAAGCCCACGAGGAGAGAGGCCAAGGCTTGCTCAGGCTCCTGCAGCAGTGCTGAGCTGGGTGCTGCCCTGCTCCTCTCCTTGTATGGGCACAAACAGGGCCTGCCTTGTGCCTATATTTAATTTGCAAAGGAGAAAAGGAATCCTGCCTGCACGCCTCTGCTCCAGCAGCCTCAGCCCGGGAGGTTACAGCAGGAGCAGAGCTGGCTGTTGGAAGAAAAGAACCCCCCTGCTCGCACACAAGCCCCTCCTGAGCTGGCAGTGAGAGGAGCAGCTCTGGGAGCAGCTCTGGGAGCACAGCCCTGCTGCACACAGGGCTCTGCTGCGCCAGCACCAGGCTCTGCTCCCGGGGCTGTGGCAGCACCCTGGCCTGTCCCCCTCTCCAGCCAGGGACTGGGGCTCTTCCCTTGGCTGCAGACCTCTGTCCCTCTGTCCCTCTGTCCCTCTGTCCATGTCACTGCTGGGGGAGGCAGGAGGGACGGGGAGGCTCAGAGCCCTGGAGGCTCGGGGCTGTGCCTTGGAGCAGTGCTGGCACCTTGGCAGGGAGCCCTGCCGTGATTTACAACCTCTCCCTGGATGGGAACTCTTGTTGGGACACCAGGAAACCCCCGTGAGAGAACAGAGCAGGGTGTCCCACAGCAGAGCGAGACAATCCCACTTTATTGGAAACTCTTGGAGAGCCGACACTGCAGAACTTGGTTCTGTCCAAGCAGGTTTGTACAACAGCACAGGAACACAACGGGAAACGGGGACTGAGCTTTGCATCTGGGTGAGAGCCCAACAGTGAACTTCAGAGGTGCTGTACCTGGAGTGACCCACAGGGACAAGGGGAGGGGAGGGGGCAAACCCACCGAGACCCCCAGGTCACAAACCTTGTGCCCCTCTGGTTTGACTGGCAGGGGAGGGAGATGCTGGGGGGGCACCAGGGATACAGTTTAAAGGGAACCCCCCCCATAGCAATTGTTCAAGTCTTATAAATTCAAACTTCTTTCCATTTAAATAACAAGTGCTTCAGGTACAAGGCTTGGGATGCCTGGTTTGTAGCCCAGTTTCAAGTGCACACAAGCAGGAATAGAACTTTTTAACAAAACTATATATATATATATTTGCACACTCATACACACACATGCACACCGTGGATTTTGTGCTGCACCATTGAGCTGGAGATGATGGAATGGGCCTGGCACCAGGAGCTGCTCACCTGGAGCACCACTCACCCTAAAGCTGCTAAAGATTTGCATTATTTTTGCCAGTATTGGCCCCCAAAGGTTTCCCCACGTGGAGCTCAGGCTGCCGTAGTTCTCCAGAAAGCTCCACGTGCAGGTGAGTGAAGCCCAGAGCACGGATGCTCTCTCGTGCTGTGGAGAGCCCAGGGTCCCCTGAGCAGCCTGCAGCTCGTGCTGGGTGTGGAGATGCTGGCCAGGGCAGAGGTCAGACCCAGACGGCCGTGTTGATGTCAAAGCCCCCCTGGCTGTAGTCTCTGGGGTTGGGGACTTTCCTGGTGCCCACCTTGGGGTGCTCGCTACGGCCCTCTGCCCTCGGGCACCTCTCTGCTTTGCTGTGGCTCTGCAGGTTCCCGTGCAGGGGCAGGTAAAACGTCCCCTTGAGTTTGCTGATCTTTTTGGACCTCTTGGAGATCTCGGGCTGCTTGTCCTCGGGAGGGAGCCAGCAGGGCTTCTCCTTGAGCAGCCTGTCGCGGTCCGGCCGGACGCTCCTCAGGAACTTCTTGAAGATGTTGGCCGTGAGGGAGAACTTCCTGCAGAGCTCCTGGGATCTGCTCGCGGACAGGGACGCCTCGCTCTTCTCCCCCTTCTTGTCCAGCTCGGGCAGGTCCAGCCAGTTGCCCACCAGGTCTGCGAAGATGTTGTCCCCCAGCACCAGCGGCTGCCGGTTCCTGCTCTGCGACATCAGGGACGACGTCCAGTCGTGGCCATCGTCACAGCCCGGGCACTCCTGGCACGGCGGCCGTGCCCCCGCCGTGCCCTGCCTGCTGGGCTGCGCCGTGCGGGGCTGGCTGCTGCAGGCGGGTCCTTTGGGGGGGCACAGAGCCTCCCCGCCGAGGCTCCCCGAGGAGCAGGGGCTGTCCCCAGGGCGGGCGCTCCCCGCGAGCGCAGCGGGCTGGGGCGAGCTGGCTGCCCGTGGCAGGGGACACGCCAGGGGCGGGGGGCAGCGTCCCTGGGCCCCCCCTGGCCGCGGCTCCTGGCGCCCCGAGATGTCCAAGCGCTCCAGAGCCGTCTGCACCTGCAGCAGCTTCAGCTCCTGCAGGGCGCCCATCATGCACGTCATCTGCTCGTGCAGCCCGTCACCCACCTCCTTCATGGACAGCTGTGGGGACAGGACAGGACAGGACAGCGGTCAGCGGCACCCAGGGCAGGGTCCCCTTGTGTCAGTGTGCCCAGGTGTCAGTGTCACTGTGGGGCAGTGTCCCCCTGTGTCAGTGTGCCCGTGGGGCAGCATCCCCAGCAGTGTCCCCATGGGGCAGTGTCCCCCTGTGTCAGTGTGCCCAGGTGTCAGTGTGCGCCTGTGTCAGTGTGCCCGTGGGGCAGCATCCCCAGCAGTGTCCCCCTGGGTCAATGTCCCCAACAGTGTCCCCAGCAGTGTCCCCTGCAGTGTCCCTGTGGGTCAGTGTCCCCAGCAGTGTCCCCAGCACTGTCCCCATGGGTCAGTGTCCCCAGCACTGTCCCCAGCAGTGTCCCCATGGGTCGGTGTCCCCAGCAGTGTCCCCAGCACTGTCCCCAGCAGTGTCCCTGTGGGTCGGTGTCCCCAGCAGTGTCTCCAGCACTGTCCCCAGCAGTGTCCCTGTGGGTCGGTGTCCCCAGCACTGTCCCCAGGCAGGACAGCAGCAGCACGGGCCAGCAGAGCAGGGCTGAGCAGCTTTCTGGGCCATGCCCCCCTCCTGACCACACGTGCCACTCATCCCCCCTGCACTGCATCCCCTTCAGCCAACAGCGCTCTGATTCTCCTTAGATTTTTCTAGGAGTGGCCCTCCAGGAATAAGAGGAGCTGACAGAAGTGGATTGTTTAACCTGACAACAAAAATAAGAGTTTGAGTTTCCATTAATTGCTTGGCAGAAGCCCAAGGTGCAGAATTATGAATGGTTTTGGCTGCCACCAGTTTTAGAATATTCCTGTGCTTTTGAGTCTTTTGTCCCCTGTCACCAGCTGAAATCAGGAGCCAGAACAGAGCCTTGCTTCCTTACCTGAAGTGCTCAAGTAGATTAAAAATAAACCCCAGGAAGAATGAGATTGTTACTCCATAACACATCTCCAGCTCTCAGTGCCCTCAGACAGGCACCTCTCACCAGAGGACAACCAGACATTTCACTGCACTGGAAATTCTGCACAGAACAACCAACAAACTCTGGGGTTACTTACATTCCACCAGGAATTCTTCGATTCCCAGGCTAGGACCTTTAGTAGCAGCTCTGCTTCATCCCTGAACCTCACCACAAAGACTGAACTTTCTACACCAGGCTCAAAACAAGCAAGTTATTCTCCAGAGCTTCCCAGCTCCCCTTCTCTTTCTCTCCGCTGCTTTCTCCCTCTCGTGCAGGATCTGGATCATATTCCCAAAGCAGCAGCAAGCAAACGGGCTCCACTTCCCAACAGCTGCCACCGAGTCATTTTTAGCAGGAGGGGAGTGGGAAGGGGCAGGAGAGGGAGGAACAGCAGGGCCAGCAGGGCTGGCAGGGCTGGAGGTGAGGCCGTGGCGCCCTGGCTGAGGTGGTTTGCAGAGATGACCCCAGCTCCAGCCTACGCTGCCACCAACACTTCAACAGGCTCATCAACACTTTCTGTACAGCAGCAGATCTCAAGATTAGGGTGAAAAAGGCCAGCTTTTTCTTTTATTCTTACATTCAGCTTTACGTTACCAAGCTTTATGTTCTACATCTCCTTCATTTTAACGAAGCTGGTTCAATTACTCGCTCTGTTTCCATCTCTGTACTGAGCTGAGCAGTGAGGAACAGCACCAGCAGAAAACTGAGAACCCAGCTCTCTAAGGTGAACTGCTCAACAGTTCCTGACCACAAATCCCCATTTCAAACCCCAGAACCTAGAACTAAACTCACCAGCAGGCTGCAGTCATTTTCCTGAGCTTTTCTCTCAAAAAACTTGTGTATCACCCGGAATGAGCACAGAGCTACAAAGACACAGAAAATCTCTGCTCAGCTTCTTGATTCCACCACCCAGGGCCTCCAGCTATGGCACTTCCTAACATCAGCAAACAAAGCCCTGCTGCAGACGTGCAGATGATGTCCCTTGCAGCCCCAGCGTGCCCCTGGCACCCAGGGCGAGCTGGGCCAGCCTCAGCCAGCACTGCCACCTTACCTCTCCAGGTCTGCCGAGGTGCTGCTCGTCCTAACCCTCCTCGCCTTCTTAATGGCAGTCTGTTCTATCTGGGGCTTTGGGAAAAGCTGGATTTGGAGCCAGCTTGGCCCCTCATTGGCCGCCTCCCCCAAATCCCCTGGCGCAGTAATCGCGCTGTGGGGAGCGCAGGGTCCTGCCCCAGCCCCAGCTCCTCCAACCCCAGCACCTGCCCCACTGCCCCCGGCCCCAGGGAGCTGCCCTGGGATGGGGCAGCCCTGCCGGGCTCAGCAGGCAAAGCCAGGGAGCATTAACCCTTCCTGGGCAGTGCTGGGCAGAGCTGGGCTCGCTGCTCACAGCAGAGCCCCTGGAGGAACAGTCTGAGCCCATTTCTCCTCCTGGACAAAGCAGCTGGGGCTGCCAAAGCTGGGCAGCAGCAGCCTGGGGAGCCTGAAGCGCTGGAAAGGAAGAGGGGTGATGTCCTCTGTGGAAAGGATCTCTGTGCATGACTGAGGGGGATCCTGGGCTGAGCCCCTGGCAGCACAGCACAGCACAGGAGGCTCCGGGCTGGGGCTCCTCCATCCTGCCCCAGTGCCTGCCCTGGGGGGGAATCCCATGGGGGAATCCCACCCTCCAGCCCAGTGTCCCTTCAGCAATGTCAGCCCCACCAGCAACAACTGAGCTCTCAACATCCTGAGCCTTCAACTCTGCTGCCAAATGCTGCTGTAATTTCGGGTTGTGCAAGTTAAAAAAATGAAGCAAACCAACCCCCTCTGCTTTATCTTTTGCTCTTCTTGGTGTCTGCTCAGTCTTTTACAGCACTGGAGAAAGCCCAGCCCAAAGTGAAGTCACTGCCTGGTGGCCAAACAGCCTGTGGGGCTTGGATTCCATCCACCTGCAATTAAGAGTGCTCACCTTGGAAAGAAAATTCTGGAGGGAAAATGAACCTTCCCCAGTGCCTAACTGCCAGCCTCTCCTCCTTGCCAAGATCTCAGCTCTCCCAAGTTCAGACTGGCTTCTCTGAGACTCTCCAGAAAAAGAACAATGTCCCAGAGAAGAGAGATCACCCTGGCAGAGGGTCAGGACTGAACTGCCTGGCCTGTGAGAAGAAAAAGGGATTCTGCAAAAAATTCAGCAGATTGGGCTGCAAATCAAATGGATGCAGGGCTGGGGGTGATGGGAGCTCCAGGCTGAAGGGACAGGCTGAAGGGACAGCCCTCGTACCCCCGTGGCTCTTGGTCACCACCCTGCAGAAGGAACTCAGGTTTGTGGTGAGCTGGGCTGCAGACCGTGTGAATGTGGCCCCAGAGCCCAGAGAGCCCTCGTGGTGTGGAGAGGGACCCTGGCCCTGCTGGGGCTGTGCAGGGCTGCTGTGTGAGCTGGGCACCAGGAGCTGCTCCTGCCTCTGCCAGCTGTGACCCCCCAGCTCTGTGGGGCTCAGAGCAGAGCCAGGGCCACAGCCCTGCCCTCCCTCTGCCCTGCTGCTCCTGCCCACGCTGCACAAACCCAGCAGCACTTCCAGGGCCCACGTGTCCAATCTGAGGCTTGGCCCTTCAATAGAAGTGGTGGTTTGGCTTCTCTGCTGCCAAAAAGAGCCCTCTTAGAGCCATGACAACTTGCAGATATCCAAAGCTAGCTCTATAAACCAGTTAAAAACAGATGCCTCAGATTGGATCTCATTATTCCTGAAACTTTTGCAATCCCTAAAAATTGGCATGAAAAATGTGATGTCTAATTCTGCACAAGCCAACTCATGCCCTTTAAAGCAAGACAAGTACTCACAGGGCTGTGCTCCCCTTCAGTGCCTGGGACTGGTGTGTGATGGGAGAGGTTCCTTTCTCCAGCACTGAGGCATTACCTGCTCAGCCCTCCTGGGCAGGTGTGACCCAGGCAGCTCTGCCTCAGTGCTCCTCCAAAGCAAAGCTCCTTCAAACTACAGACACCCCAAGCACTGAAAACTGAAGTGCAAAATTCAGAACTCCACTTTCAAATGATTGTCAGGGAATATTCAACATGGGGGGGAACTAAACAAAAGACTGCCAGAGTTCATGTATGGAGTGGTTTTTGGCCTGGCAGTGCATCCTGAGCAGCAAGGGCACCAACTGTTTGGAAAACACCCTTTCCATGGTGCTCACCCCCCAACAATACCCACAACTGCTTCACACAGCTGCTAAACCCATGACCTTGCAGCACTGATTAACACAGCAGGGCAGAGCCTGGCCCAAGGAGCCTCCTCCAGCAGCTACTGGCATTTCACCAAACAGCCTCAAACACACGAGATCCACAAATAAGGGAGAGCTTCCTTCCCCCTTCCCAGGTAAATCAGTAACTTTTCCCAGCCACTCTGGGAACTGATGCTCTCCTGTTAACATCTCCCTTCCCAGCTCTCAGGATCCAGCTCCAGCCATCTCCTGGAGCCACAGCCCAGCATTCCCAGCCCTCTCCTGCCCAGGGCCAGCAGCTCGTGCTGCTGGTGGGAAGGAAAAGCCCGGACACCCCAGCTCCACTGAGCACAGAGCTGGGAAGAGCCCCCAGCGTGTTTGTCACCAGCAGGAGGAAGACAGATGTCCAGCTCGTAGGTAAAAGAAATGCACACACAGGAAGTTATTGCTAAGAGGACAGGAAAGAACAAATGGCAAATAGTTCTCAATAATAGTTCTGATGGGCAACAGAGCCAGCACCAAACAATCGGTATTTAAAGCAGATGACATAATAGAGACTAAAATTATTTTAGAACTGCTGAGCTGATCATATTGTTTCTGTGTTTTCCTTTGGGTCACTAACTGGACTAATCTCAGCAAGCCTGCAGTTGTGGCTGGGCACAGCCTTGCTGCACAGAGCTCTCTCCAGCCCCTCGTTCCAACTTTCTTTTCCTTCCCCTGGAGCATGCCAAGGGCCTGCAGTTGCATTTTATCACAATAATTTAAAGTGTCTCTTTTACCTCATCTTCCCAGGGTGGGTGTGCATGAGGATGCTAACTGTGAGCTCAGTTCTCTGGAAGAGGAAGGATGCTGAAACTGAACCAGACTCCTCCTCACAACAATTTCAAGAGATCCCAAGCAGATGTTAACCACGACAGACGTGGCTCACACCACTCCATTTCCCACCTTCCTCCCCACTGCAAGGATATTGTGCTGTGCTTCCCAGTCACACTCCCTATCCTTAAAGGCAAATCAGAAAAATCAATTCTCCTCAACCAGGATAAAAACGGGCCAAAAATAACCCCAATCTTCAGACTTCTACTCACAACCCATAAGGGAGACCACAGGCCTTGACTGGCCACTGAAGATGATGGTTAGAAGGGTCACTTTTCAGCCCAGAGCTGCTTCCCTGGGAGGCTGCTCTTTGCCATTCCTGATTACGTGAAACTGGGAGTCTGAAAAAATCCATCCTCATCTTTAGGTGACTGTTCTGGAAATAACCCAGAGGACACAGCCTGTGAGCGCCTTCCCTCCCCAGTTAAACACGACAGGACATCTGCTGTCAAGTCACTCCTTTGCACCTTCCCCCAGAGCAGCAAGGAACGAGGTCTGTGACACCCACCCAACCTTCTGGCACTGCCTCCCGTGCCCCAAAGCAGGACCTGCATCAGCTGAGGCTCCTGAGCTGCAGCAGGGGCACCAGACCCTCCGGGCTGCCTCACACACTGCAAACCACCCGAGCTGCCCCTTCAGAGAGAGCAGGAATGAAAACACAGCAGATCCTCTCGGAGCGTGACACAGTTACCGGAATAGGACCCAGTGTGAGACAAAGAGTAAAAATAATTGGCTGGATTTTCCACTCGGACCCAATGTTCTATTCCTGCAGGATATTCATAGCAGGAAACATTGTCTACCAGGACATAAATTAATGTAAGAGCAGAGTCAGACTCTATCAAACTCAGTAATTCGATGCATTTATGACAAATGTGCAGGAAGAACATTAAAAGTTCCAGTCAGACTGATGACTTAAATACTTTTCCTCCCAGAAGAAAGCAACAGAAAGCTCAGATACATCCTGGCTTCATCTGAAAGACCAAAACATGCCAAGTAAAGTCCAAGCACAGCCAAGTAAGGTTCCAAGCACAGCTGACGAGGCTGTGCCCCCTGGCCTGTTACAGCCACACAAACCCCACGTGCCAGATGCCTCTGCCCCGTGGACTCAGCAGTCCCCAGAGAGAAAATGATTTATCCTGCCTCAGATGAGCCCCAGCCCCGACCCCACAGTCCTTGCGTGCTGCTGCTGCACACCAGGGCGAGCTGTCCTGGTGTCTGAGAGCGCAGGCAGGCACAGAAATGAAACTCCTCTCTGCCCATCCCTCAGCAGGACAGCTCCTGCTAAGCCTCAAACTCCTGCTAAATCTGAGCTTTTGCTGAGATAGTTCTGTGACTCGGGGAGCAGCACAGCTCTGTGTGCCTCAGGACAACGCCTGCAGACCCCGAATGCAGGCAGAGGGCTTGGAGGATGGGCATCACGGCAGGAAGGGCACACTGCCAGGCTCTGGGGCACGCTCCACAGCTGCCCCTGGAAGGACAGACAGGAGTGCAGAAGCACAGCTTATTCCACCACCAGACCTACAAACCAGCGCTGCACGCTCCCACGAGCCGCCGTGCATCCAGAAATCTCCAGGGGCTTCCCGGAGCAGGACGAGGTCTCAAATACTTCCTGCAGCCCGGGCTGAGGTGCAGAGGGCTGGCACAGCCTGCAAGGAGCTGCCCGGGCTGGTGGCAGCCCGGGATGAGGATGGCAGCCCTGGTCCCACGGCATG